TCGGCTCGTAAGATCTCAAACTAGGGTTACATTCTTCCCCGCAGCCATCTCCCCATCTTGAGCAATGGGAGATTAACTCTCTCTCTCTCTCTCTCTCTCCATTCTGGCGTCTCAGAGCAAAAGTCGTGCAACTTCGAGTCCTGCGACCTCCGCTTTGTGGCGTCCAGGGAAAGGAATAGTGGGTGTGCAGCCGGCATGATCTTGATCGCATTGGGGGAGATAGCGGCGAACCCCCGAAGTAGATAAAAATATCCAAGTTCGCGCGTACTTGGTCACTTTCCCTTCTCGGTTCCCTTCCCTCTTGTCTCCTCCTGGTCCCGTAGCATGTGCCGTTTACTCTCTTTGCCCCTGGGATAACCTCAACAGTGTCTGCCTCTAGATTCCTCAGTCTAAACGACCAGCAGAGCAAAGGTTGAGTACGGCCTGCCTGATATCAAAGGCATCTACTACCCCTGAAGTTCCGCTAGCTCGGGTTGCCGTCAGCTTGGCTGGCTGCGCTATCCCGGAACTTCTCACCGAACTGCCTTCTTTCCCGTGTCGAGTGGGTGCTCATCCGACTATGCATGTCAAGTCAACTTCCATGGGCAAAGAAGAAAATGGAAGGATTTGTTAGAAGAAGGGAGAAAAGAGGCGTTTAGAGAACGTTAGTCTGGGCCTGGTGTACAACGTAAGAAGCGACTCGGTAGCGAGAAATTCGTATTCTCGTGCAGGCCCAGAAGAAAATACCCCTGTTTGTTTTGAGCAGGCAGCCATTTACCAACATTTTAAGGGCTTGGGGAAGATGGTAAAGTGACTGACTGCATGTAGCTTGCGTAGACCCTAGTCCAGCTCGGCACACCTGTTCCTCCTGGTAGTGTCGGAAAGTGAAGACAAACGGATCAACGGAAGAGGCGAGTCAGTCATTTGGGGTGGGAACATGGGCGGCTTCGAGAAGATCTGGATGTAATAAATTTCGTTGACTTTCTATTGACTTGTTTGCCAGCCCGCGCCTGGGATCTCCGGTAAAATCTCAGGCTTCTGGGGGTAGGAGCTTCGCGTTCCGATATTGTGGTTGTCTTAACCAGGAGGGACAGGACAGAATGCAGGTACGGGACATGGTCTGCCGGATACCTCCTACGGAGAGGTGCACACGGAGAGTCGTGCCTTGATTTCATGTCAACCACCAATGGACCCAAGGGTGTAATTATGTAATCCAGACTTGACGTGGTGGGGCTGCCTGTCTAGACCAGACGAATACGATTGAAGAATAAATAAATTCCGGATTGACGTGCACATTGTATACATTCTCGAATGCCAGAACATATTCTCTCTATTTTCACGTTATTAGGTACGGACACCTATAATAGATACGACGTAAATTTCCCTGGCATAGGAAGAATTATCGAAAGTAAAGATTGAAAGTGAAAAGTGTCTGGATGTTGATATGTACAGAGTACGCTTTGCTGAGTCCAGGATCCACACCTCCCCATTGCGTAATCCGCACCGGCTGGGAGGGGGCATCCCTTGGGAGCCGTACCGAGCCCGTCTACGGTCGCACCCCTTTCTTCTGTTCCTCTTCGGCCCCGAGCTATATTCGCACGCCCCACACTCCAATCGTTTCCCGCCCCATGTCCATCTCCCCAAACAAGCTGATCGCCAAGCCTTCTGTGGTGCGCCAAGCATACCAAGGCCACGCTAGGAACGGTGGCTGGCAACGTTTAAATTCATGCTTAAACCTGATTTCGGTGGCGGCTCGGAGGTACCTCTTCGTTGTGCCAATCTGGTCCGTCTTGGATGACCGCCTAGAGGTACGCGTTGTTGGACCAAAGCATATATTCCTCTTTATTCCTCCGTTCCCAATCATTTATTTCTATCATATTTGGCGATGTCCTACTCAACGTTGCCAGACGCTCACGTCATCATGGTCATTATCCCTCAGTATGAAGGAACGAACAAGATCGACAAGATCGGAAGAATCGGACCATAGATACACCGTCTCCCCGATGTCGCGGAGGTCAACATCCTTATTTCCACCTCGGGTTGTCCAAGACGTACGTAAACCCTCTCGGCACCCCATTCCGGTAGAGAGCCCCATCACCACCCTGAATTTCTGTTGGGTGCCAAGCCCTGAGGGTTGCTTGGCGTCGTGCCTCGTGGTCTCTCTGTCACGCCAAGAGGACGCTAACGAATACGGAGAATCCCTTTGACGGATGATAATATTTGACAGATTTCCTCTCTCTCACATGGGTGAGCCAATTGTACTTCGTCAAAAGGGTTTGTTGAGTCGTCCGAGATGCCTAATTTGATGTTGGCTTGCTTTTGACCACTTGGCAATGTTTAGGGTTTAAGGAGGCGCAAGCTTCGGCGGGCGAAATTGCTAATCGCGTAGACCATTCCCAATCGATTGACCGGCAAACAAAGCCATCCAGATCCTAATAATCCTGAGTGCATATGTATGCATAACTGGACGACGTAATCCAGTCCTGATGCCGTGCCCCTCCGACCCACATTCTCCTAACGGTGACTTCAACTCGACTTCCTGTGGAAGGACTCGCATTGCTGGTCTTGTCCGATTAGCCGATTTCGCCAAGGACAGACATACGAAGCAGAGAGAGAGAGATCTTCCCGGACCTCCGTGAATTCCAACCAAGGATTGGAGCGAGACAATGTCTTGGCCAAGACCCTCCATTCCTCTCGATATCAGATCAGATCGTCATTTCCTAATTCCTAGGCTCCGCCTTAAACCGTTGTATAGAATCCTGTGCCTTGCGTGGAAGGGGTGTTTATTGTGGCTGATGACCGATAACACGAGTCCGCAGTCGCTTGCATCCATTATAAAGCCGGGTCTGCTAGGAAACGTTGCCAATACATTCAAGAATGGGTTTGCCTTTTTTTCTTCTTTTTTTCTTCTCTCCTCTCCTTTTCTTATACCACAAGCCAAGAACGTCTCCATTAATTAGCGACGTAGAAGCTGCAGTCATAGACAAACTTGGACGTATAGGCTGAAATAGGCATCCGGGAGACATGAAAAACGGTGGTATCGCAGGGTTACACGCCGCTTAGTGTTGCCCATATACGATTCTTGCATGCCATGCCAATACAGTCCATCAGTTTATAAGGAGGTAAAACATCCTAACAGGAAAGCAGAGAGACATTCGGTAGTAGCAGGTCCTAAACGAAGAATGCAAGGCGCTGGATACAATGAGTGAGGGAGTGGCTTCGCGTCTGCTTCTTGTTCGTTTTCTGTTCGACAGCGAACTTTAAGAACACCTCGAGTACGTAATTTGGAGTGAGCCGCCAAATACAGGCCACTAACATCAGTCTCGACGTGTACCTTATTACATAGACATGTGTATATTAGTTTTCACCTAGTGTCCAAGCCTATTATTCTAGGCCTACGGCGTACATACAAAGCTTTGTCTTTCGGCGACATTCATCATCTCGACGGCCTTCTACGAGAGTGCTAAGACCGTCAAGACAAACTGGAATGGAAATAAGAATAAGAGTCCGGCAACTATAGAATACCAGAAGTATTCGTAATGAGCAAAGCGAATGGCCATATTAACCCTAGGAAGAAGGTGCGAGTAAGCGAAAGGCTAGTGCTACGCCAAGGAATGAGTTTGAACAATAACCCTGTGGGGCAGAGATATGTGTGTAACTTCACGGCCGTTTCTCACCCAAGATAAGGTATATGTAATACAATACGCTACAGAGTAAGGTTAGTTCGTAGACTTTAAAGTGGTGATTAGCTTAGGTTCGAGCTAATTGTGAAAGGGCTGCAACAGTGTAACGTTTACTTCCACAGTTCCTAAACTTCCCAGGAAAGGAACGAGGTATTTGTGCGACCTGGATGTTACGAATGCTAGCTACCTTACCTTAGAAAGTACTTTGTGCTAAAAACGTGGAGGAAATAGAGTAACGGGAGTTGGGGAAAAGGGTGTGCGGGCACGGAGCTAGAGATGTCTGAATCCTTAGTGGTCCCGGCCATTAAGAATTAGTTCATACAATTCGGATAGTACATACCTTACTGTAGAAGGTAAGGTAGGCGAAGTAACTACATTGTAGGTATATGTATACTCTGAAAGATTTGTCCTTCTGGCCTCTAAAATCTCCGTACACGGATACATACTCCTCGGCACGGATGCTTGGCTTTATGGGGCATGACTTCTTGGCCGTCTTAGGTACAGGGCGATGACGGCTCGCGAGTCGCCAGTTACTTCCCTTATTTCTCCCTCCCCCTGGCTTACGAACTAATTATGGCTTGCCAAAGTCGCCATGGCTGGCCGATCACTCGAGTCCTTCCCGAGATCCGCTTCCCTTTATCCCCTCTTATGTTGCAAGGGTTCGGTCGAGATCTTTTTTTTTTCTTTTCCTTTTCCTTTTCTTATTCTTTTTCCCATATTCTTTGCTTCTCTTTTCTCTTCCCCTCCCTTCGGTCCAAGTTGTATGCCCGCCTTATCGTCGAGTTGATGGGAATTCCATCATCACCGTCGTCGTCGTCGTCGTCATCATCGTCATCATTATCATTATTATTATCATTCCCTCGCGGCAAATTTCCCAACGTCGAAGCAAACGGCCCGCCGTTCCTTTCTTTCACTCTTAATTCTAGAACTACAGGACTAGCGACGGCCCGTATCATTTTGTCGGTCACTACAGTGCAGGAGCTCGTCACAACGATCATATAGAGCCGATTCTCCGAGGCTCAGTTCCCCTCAACACCCATATTCCCTCGCAAACTCACGCTCGGCCATCCCTCACCTTCAACAACGTCTTAACCCACGGACAGAAGTCTAGTCCGAGGAGAGACGAAGACGACCCGATGTGGAAGACGGCAGCCCACCGCAGACAATTGGACTAGGACGCCTTCAACCTCAAGCATCAGAAGGGCAAAAGAGGCATAGGGAGAAATTCCATCCCTCGTTGGTGCTCTCACTCGTATTGAGAAGCCGCCGTCTTCGTTTCGTATTAGGCGCTCGCTCATCGGCACCGTCGCCATCAACCTCGATTGTCAGCAAGCCCGCTCCGTACTCATCCGGTGCCCCTTGTCCGGCTTCGACCTCTTCAATTCCAGCAAGCCTTGTTCCGAATTCTCCGGCCTTTCCATTAGACTCGAGTCAGGCACCACGGCATTTTGCCAACGCGCAGGACCCGGTGAACAAACCTGCGCTGCATTATTTAGTCTCGGCAGATAACGTTTCGTTTGTTTTGGGCCGCCATATATGCCTTGCGGTTTTCGTTTTTCTTTATTTATTTTTTGGTTACCCGACTCTCATCACAACGTCAAGAGAGCCGTGTAACTAAGACTCAACTTGGCAAAGCAGAGTAAGTCTCGTTCTCCCTACAGTCGCCCGTGTCAACCAATTCCACATCCCCCACACTCGCAGCCATGAAATAGCAGTCGATGGCAATACACCCACCCCCTTTCACCGGAATCCCCCGTCCGTCCTTTTGGCTCTGGTATAGCCAGCCGGCCGGCCGGCCCACCAGCCACATCCCACATCCCACATCCCGAGGCACACTTATCCCGTGCCCATTGTGGTCAATCGTGTGCTGTCGGAACCCTGGCATCATCCCCTTTTGTCCCTGGTATCTCATCCATCCATCCACCAACCTCCTCCCCCACACCCCAAGGCAAAGGCTTGAACCCTGCAGGTTCATGGCTAAAACATAGCCCCCGCCTAGTTACGCGTCGTCGCCCGTCTGTTAACCTTGCGTGGCAATGAATCTAACTTTTGCTTCTCTAGGCCGAGACAGGCCTAGGCAGTGAACAAAAGCTTAATTCCCTTACACGCACGCCACCATCGGGAAGGGACACATCGAGTCAAACTATCCCGCAGGTTTCCTCGTCAGAAGGGGCCGGACATCGATCGGTCAGGTTACTATTATCACTGGAGTCCGGTAGTTCCGCCTGCCGACCCGGGCATAAAGAGGATCCAAGGCCTCCCCTTCATCGAGCTACCAAACCCCAACCTTTAAGCATATATAAGCTGGTCGTCTCAAGGTATGTACGCTTATAACCCCTCGAAAACATTCATCCTGGGGTTTTTATTTTATTTTTATTCCCTTTCATCCGCCCTGACTGGCCACGTTGTGGAGGTGGCCCCCTCTTGTTTGCTTGTTCGGCCTCTGGGTTTTGTCCAGCTTCTACTCATCCGGGGTTGTTGATGCTTTCCCATCCCTTTTCTGAATGCTGTGGCGTTCGGAATTCCCCGAGCCGACAAGTTCACTCTCGACCCAACTCGTATGAATTAGTTTCACCTTCCAACAAATACTCACCATCGTCGTCCAGCAGGGTTTCCAACCATCGGTTCGTGACCTGCCGCACCGAGCTTCGACGCCTATCGTGCCGGTTTATGATATTGCCGGCAGGCTTACGGGTGACGGCGACTCGACCAGATCACGACAAGGTCAGATAGCCTCACGATTTTCATGCTGGAATCATCTTTGTTCGTCTCGTTCGTTTCCGTCAGCGTTCTAAATGGCGAACATGGAGACCTATTACGGCCACGTGCGGTCCCCCGCCGACGCCATCAAGCTCTTTGAAGCCTGCAGGCTCGGGCTACTGCCCCGTGTCCAACGGCGATTATCCGAGAAGGAACGACAGTCGATCCGGCCCGGATCTGTTTTCGTGTGGGATGAACGGGAAGCCGGTATGAGGAGATGGACAGATGGCAAGTCGTGGAGCGCCAGCCGAGTCTCGGGAAGTTTCCTCACCTACCGCGAAATGGAGGGCAAGCGAGCTGGTGGTTTCGGCAACAACAGCAGCCGCAGAGGCGCGACCAAGACGCCGGATTCGAATCGCGGGAGCGATGAAGACCAGGAGAATGGCGGCCCGGAGGGCTACAAATACAAGGCCGATGGCCTGATGAAGCAGTCTTTCAGCATCACCACCTCGGCCACCCAGCACCTCCATCTGATATCATACTACGCAAGGCCACGGCCGGGGGATCCCCAACTGCTACAACCGACGTCCGACCCCAACTTGCGTCACATTGTCCCTCCGAAGGGGATGTATCCCGAATCCAGCCTCCATGACAACAGTTCGACACCCGCTTTGACCAGGGCACCCATGATACAGCATCCACCATACGCGGCCCAACACCTTCCTCACCCGGGTCCACCGCCTCAGCACCACCCTCTGGCGCACTACCCCCCACTCCCGCCCGGATACCAATGGTCTCCCACGCCCCTGCCATTTTCGCCCTACGGCCAACATCATCATTACACGTCAGCCCCATATCCTCCACATGACCAGAAGGCACTCCCCGCTCCGAACGGACATGATGCGAACGGACATCATAGCCATCCATCTACGTATGCGGGCCCGCCACCTCATTACGTGACACACCCTCTCGCCTACGACCGGCCGACTCTGCCCCCGCCGATGCCACAAGCCCTGACTCCATCACCGGCGCTGTATGCGGCGCAACAGCAGCCATCACAACCACCACATCCATCACAGCAATCCCCGCATACGTCACACACGATATCCGAGGCCTCCCCCCGAGCACAGCACCTCCAGGCGCAAGCCGCACAAGCCGTCATGATGGACTCGTGCAACGGTAGTCAGTTCCTGCCGTCTATTAAGCGAGAGGGCAGCCCCTCGTCACCCCGGGTCGCAGAGTCGGACAATACCGGAGCCGAGGACAAGACGAGCATCTCGGCCTTACTGCGGACCCCGTTGGTGGAGCCCCATCGAGAGTCGGGCCCAGGGCGAGGGCGAGGGCCAGGGCCAGGGCCAAACGGTTCCATCCCCCAGCCTGGCATCTTGCCTCGCACGGGGGTTCCATTAAGCGGGATGCTCGGCCCCGCTGAACGACCGGGCGGGTCGAGTCATGATGCGAGAGCTCTACAGTTGCTGGACCGCAAGTTCTGCGCATGACGGGAATACGGGGAGCACATTCATTGGTCGAGGTGGCCATGATATGGGGCGGACGGACGTTCTGGCATTGCACATATCATTTACGTCTTTATTATTTTCAGTAGTATTATTATGCATTGCTATGGCGTTGCGTTGTGGGAGGGGCGTAAAAAGGGGCGCATCCATTACGGGTACGAATACATATGACATATTACATGGAATAATATGACAGGAAGGTCTTTGCATTATTCGCATTCCCTCATATGGCTGGCATTGATAATGACTCTAGGGTATTGCTCGTAAAAGGACGTGGAACAGCGGAGATGGTGGTATGACGGCTCTAGCTAGATACAACGTGTCAAAACAGGGCAGAACGGCGGAGATGTTCGTATAAAAGACGCCGGGTTCGAGCCGGCTCGCAAGTCTTTACCTTAAACGAGGAGGCCAGGCCCCCTCTCACCTTTACCATCCCTGTGAAATAAAGTAGGTTTGCGTGTAGATATTCTCCGGTAGGACTAGTAGACGACGCCACGGTTTGCTACCAGCTTTATCCTCCCGACTAGTGGGTGCCGATGCCGAGGAAGTATGCCGCCGTGGTCTCCGCGTAGTTCGAATATACATGTAAGTTCTGTATAAGCTAACTTATGAACCTGTCTGTCATGGTCGGGAATAAACGCAAGCTGCTTCCCGTTCCCTCTCCGTTGTGAGATACCCTCGTGAAACCACCGCGCTAGGTGATGTGCCTCTTTGCTTTATGGGTTTTGTTTACTTCTTATCTTCCCCTCACTCCCAATCCCTGGTAGGTCCTAAGAATCCCGCGTCTTTCCGAAAAGGTAAAGGTGGGCGTCTCCTCAACGTTCGGATCCTACGGCTTGAAGAGGGGGAAAGACTCGAAAGAGTTCACGAACGAAACAACGCCATCTTCGGGAACATCGACAGAAGACTTACCTCCCTTAGTCCTCCTTCCC